ACACCATCCAAATCACAGAATGCCTTGTAATCTTTGAAAACAATTTTTGAATGGGCCATAGTAAGAAGTGGTGAGTAATGCTCAAGTTGCACCGCTCCCTCTCTTTGGTGCCCGGAAGCTGGGCGTTATGTGGTGCAGTGTGCTGCAAGTTAAGATTGTTTTTTTACTTGGCAGCAGCTGTCTGCAGATAGCAAACCGCTCTTTAATGATAATTTACATACCAATTGTGGTGTGTAAATTATTTTTCCTCGAGTGTGGTTAGAAAGCCAATTGGGTTCTATTGCATAGACTGTGCTGTATTTCTAACCATGTGAACATCAGGAAGGGGAGCACACAGATAGCCTATTCAGCATGCTGCTACTTCTTCATTGTCCAATCCCAGACTGGGGTGTGTCCTGGACCAGGCCATTTTGCTTAGCTACAGTGCAATCTGCAGACCTGGCTTTGCTGCCTGTCAGGGTGATTGGATCAAGAGGCTGGGTAAAAAAAGATTACAGATTCTTGGAAGTGAAAACTGTTAACATTCATGTCGTTTTAATGTGTGTTTTTTTTTGCCAGGAATCCAGCTTTAAGATCTGCTAAGATGTAATGATGAAGAACACAAATGAAGCAGTGTTTAATTAGTTGTATACACTATGAACAAAAAAAAACCACACAGATGACTTTTAAAATAAAGAAAAGAAAACAAAAAAAGAAAGAAAAATAAAAAAGGCATTCTTGTACACATTTAATTACGTAGAGCAATGTCAATGGGCAATGCATCCAATCAGATTTCTTCTCTAACAGAACAATGAAATAATATTTCTTACTGATTGATTTGGATGATATCACTTTGTGCACTGCTGTTTATCTTTGATGACTGTTTCAGTACACCAGAATATTTTTTACTACTCTGTAGCGCTTGCATTAAAGTTAGAAGAGTTCATAGATGATTTTTCATGATTATTTTAACAAGGAAGTCTACTAGTTTTGAACTGTTAAGCGGCTTCTAAGTCAGAGCTACATAATGGACTCCCTCTGTTAATGACTTGTGTCTTTATTAAAATATTCATGACCATCTTGTTTTGAGTTGTATTGTAACTGTAATGTCTCCCTTATATTGTAATACGCTGTGCAACCTGTAGTGCTATATAAATCCTATATTATAATAATAATATTTACAATTACATAGGAACAAAGTCGGAACAGCCTTCAAGGCGATTAAAATGACATGTCCACCAAAATGTATAAAAGTATAGCCAAAGTACATGCAATTATCTGTACTTGTTTTCATATCACAGTTCTAAAAACATACACACGCATCACACTCCTGACCGGAGGAAAAACACTTATTGTAGGGTGGGTGCTGAAATGACTGTGGATGCCTCCGCAATAAGTCCAAAAATAAAAAAAAGGTCAAAAGCACTCCAGCATGTAAAAAAGTCAATGTTTATTGACTTCACAGGGGTTACATCATCAGAGCGACGTTTCGGAACAGCAAAGTCCCTTCCTTTGGAGGAGCAGGATGAAGGGACTTTGCTGTTCCGAAACATTGCTCTGATGATGCGACACCTGTGAAGTCAATAAACATTGACTTTTTTACATGCTGGAGTGCTTGTGACCTTTTTTTCTTTTGTTTTCATATCACCACACTTGTGCCTGGAGATGACCCTCAATCATAGGTCTAGGCTGTATTAAGGGTCTTGGTTTCTTTCCAGGCTGAGAGTAAGCCCCACTACCACCCCTGTCATTCATCTGTTAAATTCCAGAGCCTGTGGGGCCAGTACAGGCAATTCCATTTGGCAGATGAATGACAGGAGGTACAGGTTAGCACCAGGAGATGTGGAGCTTAATCTCAACATAGAGAGCGTTTAAAAGAAAAGTACAGCCAAACATTTTCTTGGCTTTACTTCTCTTTTGGGTCTCAGAAGTTAACTTATTAATGTACCCCTGTGACCCAAAATCAGCATATAGTGGGCTACTGCCCCCTATAATCTCACAACGCAGAACCGCACTGCTGCCAGGAAGGTTCCTGACAATATTGTCGAAATCCACTCCGCTGCCTGATTGACAGCTGGCTTTGCCTCTCTAGAACCAGAGAGAGCTGAGCCCACCCCTAAACCTGTCTGTCCCTCCAATGAGCTAAGGCGGAACAAAGAGGGGATCCCAGTAGGAAGCAGTGACTGACCGTTACCGCTGTCTGCAGGGAGAAGCTGTGAACCCAGCTATTAGCGGTTTGTGATCTCAGCTCTCAGTATACAGAGACGGTGTGTGACAGCTACAGTGTCCCATGCCGGCTCTAAGTATTGGGAAGAGTATATTTTACTCTCCCAAAACATCCAGCATGCAGCTGGAGTCTATGATAAAGGGTTTTTCTTGGGTAGAAAAGAGCTGCTTTAAAGACAAGTTGTACTTAAATTTTATAATATTAGTTTAAATGCACTTTGCTGGAATGGCAGATTCATGTTAGTGTACAAAACATGGATGATGTAATAAAAATCTTAGGTGACACGTGGTAAAGCTAGGTGGCGTTTTACAGACCCTTTCATAAAAAGCACTGCATAACCATGTAATCACCCAGAACGGAGCCTGGATCATTTTTAGGCTTGAATCAAAGGCTGAGCTTAGACATATTTATGTAGTGAAATCTATTAATAGGAAAAGACAGCATAGTAAAATGCAAGCTATGTCTTTCTGTTCACCACAAAAGGTGTAATCCTCCTTACCTTTAAATATCTAGTCACAAAATGGCTGGGAATAGAAATATTAACCACTTGCTGTCCGGAGCAATTTCTTACTATTTGCGCACGCACACATGATAAAATATAAATTTTTGGCTAGAAAACAGTTTAAAACCCCCAAACAATTATATATTTTCTGAAAGCAGAGGCCCTGTAGAATTAAAAAATGCTAGTTGCAATTTTTTATGTTGCACGGTATTAGTGCAAATGTTCATCAAACCAGTATTTTTAGATTAAAATACACTTAATTAAAATTTAGTGCACAGAAACAGAATATAATACCCGATTTTTTGGTAAAGACGGGGTCACGTCTGGTAAATACCAAGCATGTCAAGCCTTAAAATTGCGTTCGCCCGTGATGCCGCAAAAAAATTTAATTACACCGAATTTCCCACAGGGGACTTTTAAAACGCATTTACAGCTCATCAGTTTAGCGGTAACAGTGATTAATGGCTCTGAGATTATTGCTCTCACTCCAACGTTCACGACCATATGCGACATGTGTAGCGCAATTTTCATTTTTGCGTGTAGGCGCTCTGACGCATTTTTGCGTATGTATGTGCGTGCACGTGGGAGGCAGGAGACTTTACATTTTTTCTTTTTCTTGTATGTTACTTTAATTTTATTTATTTTTTAAACCCTTTTTTTTTTACACTAAGCTTATTGCGATCACCTGGGGGGCTAACAAGCCCCCTATGTTATAGCAGATAGGGTGTGATAGGTACTCTTTATGGAGACATCAGGGGTTTTTCAGACCCCTAATGTCTCACCTAGGGACCCCAAAGAAGCTGAGGAAGCAGAGATCTGCCCCCACATTCACTTCTGGGTCCAGTGATCGGAGGAGAGATCAGCAGCCATGTTCTTGTTTTAACCACTTCTGCGGGTCGCTGTATTTAGACGTATTGTGGCCCGGAGGTGGTTAAAGCGCTAGTCAAGCTGGAAAAAAAACAAGTGCATTATAGCTCTGGAATAAATTTATATTCCCCAATATGTTATCCATTTAAAGAAGAACTGAGTTTTACCGACCAGACCATCTCTCCCCCTCTGATGCAACAGTATAAGGATCCTGGTGTCATCACGTTCTATTAACCGCGTGTATATATGCGAGGACGCTGAGGAGCAGTCTATCTGTGCAGCGGAGGAGGAGACACGCTTCAGTGATTACAGAAGCAGTGAGCTGGCTCGGGTGGTCTAGTGGGTAACTTTTGAAGAATTTTTGACAAAAGCTGTATTTTTTAGGGTACTGCTTAGGCTCAGTTATCATTTCTAGATGTTCCCTATAACATAGCAAATCTTTACTTTTTGAGTTTAGGTCCACGTTAAGATACTATAATGGAGCAGGTTTATATGTGCTTCCTATTTAGCCTTACTTACTTTTTTCTGAGATTTACATTCCAGCTTATACTGTATATAAATGTTCAGAATAGATATTACTGCTGTGTTAGATGCCCTAATTCACACACCACACTGGAAAAACATGTTTGAGGTTGGACACCTGACATACAGTAAACGGTTACATTTCAGGTGACCTCTGAACTATCTTAATGACATACCGTCAATAGAATACATAATTTTTTTGTATTATTGGTCTTTTCATTTTTTTCAAATGTTATCATTTATTATTAACAAAAACATTTTACTGACTAATGTAAATGGGAACTTGTCTTCATCTAGTGAAGTGCATTGCTAATGCTAACCTAAAGAGGGCTGCAGTATAGTTACATAGTTAGTCAGGTTGAAAAAAGACTCAAGTCCACCGAGTTGAACCTATAGAGATGAGAAGAAAAAAAACAGAACACTATGCCCACAGTTACCCACTGTTGATCCAGAGAAAGGCAACCCCCCGCCCCCCCATAAAGCATGATTCAATCTGCTCCAACGGGGGAGAAAAATTCCTTCCTGATCCCATAAGGCTATCGGATATTCCCTGGATCAGCAATCTCTGGTGCTTAATATACCTATAAGAACTCAATATCCAGTACTATTCTGTGCATTTAGGAATACATCCAGATATTTTTTTTTAAAACAGAAAACAGATAACTGAGCTAGCTAGAACTAGCTCCTGGGAGAGTCTATTCCATATTTTCACAGCTCTAACTGTGAAGAATTATTTCCGTATGCAAAGGTTAAACCTCTTTTCCTCCAGACGCAAAGAGTGCCCCCTTGTCCTTTGCAGTGACCTTAAAGTATGTGCTTACACAGATGTAAATGAAGGTTGTTTTTTCCCAGGTTATCTTAATGTCAATAATGTGGCTTGCCACCAATTAGAGATAGGCTTACCTCTGACTCTGAACTGTCCAACTCAGCCAAGGTTGGAGCTTTTAGAAGTCTCTTGCGTTGAACAGTCACTTGCAAGGAACGTCCATTTTTTCTGGAAGACTCAGTTACACCACCATTTAACACTGTGCTCTCTGGTTGCTTTCTTGTGACTTCAGGAGTAGAAACATCTGATGCATGAAACAAGAAAATGTTTTACATTTACATAATGGAACAGAATCAAGCTATGAAACACACAAGATGGAAAAAGCTTTTGTATCCTAGTTATACAAGTTATGTTAAATGACATTGTTACTGGGAAAATTGTCTCGACTTGTCTTGTTCAGTATAGATTTACAAGATACAAATGGAAATTGCTTAAAATATTGTTCCCACTTCTTAAAGAAGCAGATTGTGAAGTAAATCATATAATGATATGGGTAAATAAAGCAGAATCAATTCTAAATCTGTATAGTTTCTCATCACATACGAGCTATGGTAACTTAACTATCAGCATCACAAAACATTAGTATAATGGTAGGAGAAACTATAGGCTAGCTTATTGTTTAGTGGCCAGGTCCATGGTATATATCTAGGCATATAAACTTACTAGATTAGTATGTTTCAAAAAGTGGGGCTAGTACCATTGATGGTAATCATTCTCAGTGTGAACAACACATTGCAAAGCCAGGGTTTATACACTGCCTGGCCAAAAAAAAAAAGTCACACTATATTTAATTGGACCGCTGTAGCTTTCAGAAGGGCACACATTCTCCGTGGCATCATTTCCATAAGTTTTTGCAATGTCACAACATTTATTTCTGTCCAGGGTTGCATTCATTTTTCACCAAGATCTTCTCCAGCACATCCCAAAGATTTACAATAGGGTTAAGGTCTGGACTCTGTGGTGGCCAATCCATGTGATGCCTTATGCTCCCTGAACCACTCTTTCACAACTTGAGCCCAATGAATCCTGGCATTGTCTTCTTGGAATCTGCCCATGCCACCAGGGAAGAAAAAATTAAATGATGGAAAAACCTGGTCATTCAGTAAATTTAGGTAGGCAGCTGACCTCATTTTTTGGGGACATAACATTGTTGAACCTAGACCCAACGAACTTAAGGCTCTGACCTATTTGCTTAGCTAAATCCAGATGGTGACTTTTTTTTTTTGGCCAAGCAGTGCATGTGTGCATGACCTTCCTATAAGAGAATATGCTGTCAGTAGCAGGTACAACAATAGGTTGAAAAGGTGACCACAGACATCAGATGATGAGCAGATGTGATAATTTTGTCCAAAAAGATTCTGTACATATGCATGTTCACATTATCCAAGAGTAAGGGGGTGGGGGTGGGGGGTGAATGCCAAGAGAACGAAGGAGGGGGGAGGAAGGAGCAGACAACTTTGGTGCTACTTGTCTTGGAAAACCAATAGTGACAGGACAAAGTTTTCAAGGTTTTTCTAACCTGTTTAAACCACTATTTTTCCCCAACACGTGTCAGCCAGGTATATCTGTTGTGGTCCACAAACAGGAAATCATTGCCCGATCTGAAATCGAGCAGTAAGGAAAGAATGCATGGTGGTGGCTATGGCAGTAAAGTGGTTGTATGTCGGTGGTACAAGTGATCAACAGTAGTCAGGCTGAGCAAAGGGTTTGATGACTGTACACATCACTGGTTTAGATCAACAAAGCCTATAGTGGCCTTGCAGCATCTTTTATACATGCAAATGTAATTTGTAAGCTCTGTAATTTGTAAATCTGAGGACCGAAATTTTGCTGAGCAGGTGCTTCCAATATAAAGTTACACCACCTTATTAACATCCCATGTTTCTAATAAAACCCAGAATATGTAAAAATATAAAAAATACTAAATGCTTGCATCAAATATGATTTTAGAGGGAAATGTAACATTTTTATACTGTTGCTCCAAATCAGTGGTCTCACAGTACTGGCTGGCGGTACTATGTAGCCCGCAGCCAGCTCACAAATCTGGTACGCGGTCATGGACCGCGTACCAGACTTGCGGGAGCAGCTACAGGTCTACATCTCTGTCAGATGCAGACCGCATAGCTGCTTCTGTGGCCGCACTCGGATCCTTTCAGCCAGCGCCTTCTCTGAACGTTGGCCGAAAGGATTGATTAATAAGGTCTGCTGCAGACATTACCAGTCCACCACTAAATCACCAGGGATCGATGATCGTGGCTCACAGCCTCCTCCCTGCAACAAGGTAAGCAGGAGAGGGGGCTGTGTATTTTATTTTACATGTGGGTATGCGGGGGACTAGGAATTATATTATTTTATATGGGGGAGGGACTGGGAATTACACAATTTTATATGTGGGGGGGACTGGGAATTATATTATGTGTGTGTAGGGACACATGTTCTGTCGAGAACGCCGACGTAGTCGAATTTGCTGACCTCAACATCTACGCTTGTTGCGCACAGACCAGTATTACCGAGGAAACAGGCATTTATTGACAAAGTATTTAGTTTAAATCGTTAATTGTGACCGTTAATAATATGCCATCCATCATTTACTGCCATGGATGGCATATTATTAACAATTACAAACTAATACTTTGTAAATAAATGCCGGTTTCCTCGTTAATCCCGTCTGTGCGCAAACGCACTGTGAGCCCTTCTAGTTCTTATCTTGGACTACTGAATGATTACTCTTTATGTTGCAGAGATCTGAGAGTGGGAATTGTTGAGTTGTTTAGCAACAGACAACTGGGCAGGGCTGACATCACTTAGTACAAAAAAATGCCTTGTGTCAACTCACACCAGGACATGGGAGTGGGGTGCATTGCTGGCAGATCAACAGGTATTTTTGTACTTACAGGGTCTTTAAAGGGATAAAACACAGTGAAATGTGCATGCATCTGAGAGATGTAGTGCATATTTTTTTGGGGCAATAACATATTATTTAAGCTCTACTTATAATATAGAGGTAGATATATTCTTATAGATTTCAGGCAAAATTCAGTCTAGCGTAGGCACCAACAGCAAATTTATGAAGTCCAGGAACACACACGTTAATTGATAACAAATGAAGTTTTAAAAAAGAAGGAGCCAGTAGTACATTTTTGCATACATGTTTTGGCTACCTGGCTCCAGGGATTTTTCCAGCCCTTTCATAATGATAAAAGAGCTTGTAGACTACTGCTTTAAAAGAAAACTATCATCAAGATATATTTATTGGCAGCTGTATTTTTTCTCCACAGACACCACATTAAATTAGTTTTCTGTACAAGACTGTGAAATGAAATGTGAAATTAAAAAACATGAATGATTAATGGTAAAAAAATATTTCTCTCATGGTCAGGAATGATTAGAGATAGTAAGTAAAAGCTCATTAAGAAACAAAATATAATTCAGAATGAAAATACTATATGAAGAAGAGATTGGAGCAGTTATGTTCGGCGCTTTGCATGTCACACAGCCAATGGCTCAGAAGCCATAGGTGGCTCTCAGTTCCCTTTGATGATATTCGCGGTACCTTCCTAGCAGATGCTCAGTATCATTTACAGTTTAGATTAAGGCAATAAAAGGTTACCTATATAATTTTATATCTATTCAAATATTATTAGTAAAACCGAGCTCGGGGTCAATATAAAACATTTTCCCTTAAGAAAACCTCCTCAACTGGACTGATGTGTGAAAAATGCACATTATTCTACCTATAGAGTGATACTACTATAAAGCTTCCATGAACCTTTTTTTCCCCATTTTCGCTGATGCTAGTCCAAAATACCTCACTAATTTTGGTCAATCCTTGGGTTTGATTAACAAATGGGATTTGGATGTGGACTCCATATGGAATTCAAACATATCACTCCTATGAGGATGGGAAAAGGCTGAGATGCTAGTTATTTTTTATTCTAATAGGGATTAATTCAAAAAGGATGCCTTATTATCATGGTCCATATTTTCTTTACATGGAGGATATCAGATCAAGATACTTTAGGGAAGAGGACATTGGAAAATCAGGCCATATTTTCATGTGGTCGTCCATCAGGATGCATTTTTATTTGTCTTCAGTTCTGCTTTAAAGCTGATGTCAGACGAGCATGTTCAATGCTGTGCCCAACAAGTAAACACAATCTAACATTCCAAGTTTTCTGAGTGCAAGTTTTGAGGCTCTATACAACAGATACATGAACACTTTTCATGCCTTTTCATCTTTTTAATACAGCCACCATTTATTTGATCTGAACAAGGTTCATAACATCAAACGTTTGCAATCTCTGCCAAACTAAGTCACTGTGGGCTTGCATTAAAGTGATATTCAAGCTTTTAATTTTTTTTTATATTTATCACTTGGAGGCCTTTATTGCAGACCTCTGTTTTTTTGTTTTTTTAATTACTCAATTCCTCGTTTTCTAGTGGGTTCCTGCATCCTCTCTACCTACCCCCTGCACGGGTGCCGCCAGCAGTTAAGCGACTGCTGTGGAGGCACTCATGCGTGTGCAGACCCAGCCGTGCCCGCAGTAGCTGTGTGCGTCCACAGACAAACCCAGCCCTATAGCAGGCCAAGCCCCTCCTCCCCACCCAACAGTTTGACTGTCGGCAGAGGAAGGCTTTGGCTCCTCTGCCCTCAGTATCCTCTCCCGCAACCAGGAAGTGTGGGCCAGAGGATCGCTTTAGTGACCGGCGTTGACAGGTAAGTGTTTGTGTGTGTGTGTGTGTGTGTGTGTGTGTGTGTATGGAGTCAAAAAGACTCATACAGAGAATGCAATAAGATTTTAAAAAAACCACAGCCTTTAATACTACTTTTATTAATGATGTGATCTGTTCATCTAAGACCAAGCGTTATCGGCACTCTAGAATTTTTTGCTGACAGCACTGGTGAACTGCAGTCATGCAAAGGTTGCACTATACCAGGGGAAAGTGTGTTTATGCAGGTAAAGGATATTTTATTCACAGTATATTGCCAGTGTTCCAGAAGAACCATTTCCAATTGCTAGAACTAAAGGCTGGGTTTTATTTGTATGTTTTTATTGACAGCTTTCTTGTTAAAATCCCATTTTATTATATACTGGTATTCTCAAGCAAAACATGCTTCTTTAAAAGAAAGATCAAAAAGGATATAGGAAAGTCTATATAAGAGATGGTGACAAAGAAACCTTAATATTATTAAGCGTTTGCACGGTGCAAATGAAATACTGAGATCATTTGGTGTTCCAACATATAGTGACCCGCCCTGTTCCAAAAAAATGCCAACCATCTGGAAGTATCCAACAAAGGAACAGTGATGCTTTTGTTAAAACTAAGTTTAAGATTTGACCATACAAAAATCGCATGTCACATGTTCTTAACTATAAACCTTGGCCACAAAGACCTCTATTAACCCATCTCTGAGAAACGTTTTCTAAGAACTTAAGTGGCATGCAGAAAAACAGCTAGATATTGCAATATGGACATCTAGTTCTAGATTTAGAATGTAATGTATGCCTTTGCCTGCTTGTTAGGTACCATTCACACTGGAGCGGGAAACGCAAACCCTATATGTGAATGGAGCCTTAGATAATGACTCCAGGTGGATACCTGACAGAATGAAAAACATTTATTTTTTTACATTTTGTTCTATACTTTCTGAGATCCACTGGTTACTTAGTAATGCCTTAGTGAATCCTAATAATGAAAAGACAGAGGCAAGTATTATTTTTAGGCGTTTGTACCCAATAGCCCCCAATTGCTTTGGGTGAAGTAGTCCTTTATCCATATACTCACAGTCACCACCCATCATAGACTCGGAGAATACTGAAATGTTAAGAAAGGGCACTTTCAGTGGAAATTTTGGTTTGTTTTTTTAAGGTAAAGGGGTCTCTGTCTGATGTGCTGTGAGATGTTACAGGACTGGAGAGGGTCTCCTAGATTAGCGTTTGGACCACACTACACAGAGGGGCCATGATGAGGCAGTGTGGCTTCCATGTATTTTGCACAAGTTGTGCAACTAAAACCTCTGTTTTTAACCCTAATAGTTAGACAGTGTCATTTTTTTTGCAGGATAGCTGGTACGTGTGCTGGGAAATGTTTGCATTTGTACTGTGTAAAGCTCTTCCATATGCACTTTACTTTAAAGCTAGTTATGAATTGAGGAGTCTGCCATTTGTTTCACTTGTTGGACTTGGTGTGGGGCAACACTAGAGGCTTCATCTGCCATTGTGACGTGGTGGGCTTCTGGTGTATCCCTGTGCCATTAAGGAGGAATGGGCTTCCTGTTGGTGAACCTGCACCCAATTCATCCTTTGCTATACATGCTCCAAGATGGAGGCTTTTGTAGATTAGTTAGGACCACACTACACACAGGGGCCTTGACGAGGCAGTGTGGCTTCCACAGTTCTTCCGCTGCTCTCCCTTGGACAATAAAATCTGGCAGCATTTACATGCTCGAATTAAAACAGGGCATTTAGAGACCCACAAAAGGTATATTCTCTTACTGCAAGGTCCTCTTTCACATCAAAAGAAAAATCCAGAGCAAAGACTTCTGTTAACTGAAGCCGTTCGTTTCTAACTTATTTCTGACCATGGTAGAAAGGAAAGACTACTCCCACAAATGAACACAGAGAATGCACCACAACATCCACAACAATACGCCAGGTGCACATTTTACCTGACAAGTCAAAACTGTGAGACATGCTAAGGGGCCGCATTACTGGAAAAACAAAAATAGTCTGTTAGGACACGTATATAAAATAATAAACAAGACCAAAACATTTCAGATTACGTGGTGCTATGTAGCAGTATCTGAAATGTGGATGCGGTTAAACTGAAAGCACATAAAATTAGCCTTTATTTATACATACATTTTAGAGAATAAAATGTTAATTCATAGCTTAACCACATACTTTATATAAGACTTTATATAAGGTAATACTAAAAAGACATTTGGTGCAAAAAGTGTATTTACATATTTTGTGGATATACAGCAATGTATTTCAATTAAAGTTTTTTTGGGACAGGAATTTAGCATTAAACTACTGCATAATTATTATTAATGTCTTATGTTTAAATATTTTTACCAGGTACTAGTCCTCCCAAACTGGTATGTATATATTGCAGGCTCCAGAATTGCTAAGTTGTCTGGTTTTTGGCTTCACCAACATTATCACCACAAAAAATTCACCAACTATAGGTAGTCACCGTCATGACATAGCTGGTTATTTTAGTTGATCTTTCTTCTATCGTCAGACCTCTGCTACATCTATATAGTAAAATAAATAATTCCAAAGGAAACCCTACTTATTAATGGCTGCTACAGATGGGCAAAAAAAATGGGGCAGACCTAATTATAAGATACACTATATTGACAAAAGTATTGGGACGCATGCATCTACACGCACATGAACTTTAATGGCATCCCAGTCTTAGTCCATAGGGTTCAATATTGAGTTGGTCCACCCTTTGCCGCTATAACAGCTTCAACTCTTCTGGGAAGGCGTCCACATGGTTTAGGAGTGTGCCTACGGGAATGTTTGACCATTCTTCCAGAAGCGTATTTGTGAGGTCAGGTACTGATGTTAGACGAGAAGACCTGGCTCGCAGTCTCTGCTCTAATTCATTCCAAAGGTGTTCTATCGGGTTGAGGTCCGGACTCTGTGGTGGCTGATGCCTTAAGAGTTCCCTTCACTGGAACTAAGGGGCCAAGCCCAACCCCTGAAAAGCAACCCCACACCATAATCCCCCCTCCACCAAACTTTACACTTGGCACAATGCAGTCAGACAAGTACCGTTCTCCTGGCAACCACCAAACCCAGACACGTCCATCGGATTGCCAGACAGAGAAGCGTGATTCGGCACTCCAGAGAACACGTCTCCACTTCTCTAGAGTCCAGTGGCGGTGTGCTTTACACCACTGCATCTGCCGCATTGCACTTGGTGAGGTAAGGCTTGGATGCATCTCCTCGGCCATGGAAACCCATTCCATGAAGCTCTCTATGCACTGTTGTTGTGTCAATCTGAAGCCCACACGAAGTTTAGAGGTCTGTAGCTATTGACTCTGTATACCACTTCATGGCTGAGTTGCTGTTGTTCCCGGTTGCTTCCACTTTGTTATAATACCACTAACAGTTGACCGTGGACTATTTAGTAGCAAGGAAATTTCACGGAACACAAGAATCCAATGATTTGGAGGGGTGTCCCAATACTTTGGCAATATAGTGTATATGGAGATAAACAGGTTGAGGTATATCTAAAGGGGGGTGTTTTGGTGTATAGATTTGGGACAGGTCTCAGGTCTGGACAGGTCTGGATCAGTTTCATTTATTCACAGGTTTAAAAACCCCACAGCAGCAATAATAGGTTACTAAGTATTACAGATGCCATTTATAACGAAGAACTGAGGTTGAAATGCGTCAGTGGTGCTGTGCATTTTTTAGCCTCCATGCATAAACAAATCATGGCTGTACTTATTCAAAGGACATGGATGTTGGACTTGAAATACCTTAGATCAATACAGATTAGATAGATTAGCTGAGTTTGTTGATTACAGAGCTATAGGTCTGACTCAGTAGGAGAGTGTCTGTCCTCTGCAGAGAGACCACTGCTTCAAGACAGAGACCAGGGGTCATACTCTGCAGGTTCTGGCAGGGGACAGGGTTTTCTGTTTAGACTGTAGCTGCGTATGTAGAAAACAAACTGTAACACATTTAACACTTTGGGATGTATTTATAAAAAATGTGCATAGCTATTCGTCCAAGGAAACCGCATTTGTTCTGTGAGAATTAACCAGCTGTTGTGACAATGGGGCACAATTTAATGTTCTTAGTGTTATTTTCTCTTCTGGCTGAATCTTCTTCAAATTTTATAGGCAGTAGTCATTTTAAAAAAAAGCATATTATAGCCACTAGAAGGAGCTGATGATCCTAGGAAATATTGCATCTTAGTAACAAGAGATACAATGTAACAATTCAAGAGAATGCTGGAGGGAATTAGCAGATACATATAACCATTGCTACTACGGAGATCACAGTGAGACTGAAGAGCATAAAGCAATGGTGTGCAGTTACCTGTAGAAGCCATTATATCATATTTTAGATATTTAAATGCAGTCATAACAATGAAAACATATTTCTCATTGGTTGCTTTTTGTCTTTGTCTTAAATAAACCCCAATTATACACCTATTAAGGAAACATTTTATACGCTCACATACTAATGAACTGGATAACCATGCATGATACCAGCACCATTGAAATCTGAAGATTGTGAGAAAGTGAAATCCCTTTGAATTAAACATGAATAAAGAAATTTAAAAACAGCAAGATTTTTGTACTCACCATAAAATACTTTTGAGTCCATTGAGGGACACAGCTTTCATAATAATAGGCAACCTAGGGTTATACTGCTGCCTAAAGGAGAAATGGACACTAAACACAGAGGCCACAGAGATTCGGCAAAGAGCCAAACAGGGTCAGCATCCCATACTTTCCAAGGCAAGTCCTGAGATATGAGAATGACTAAAAACCTCTCAAACTTGTTACTTTGAATAAGGTCATTTTAGTGGAGGAGATATATAGATCAGGCAATACTGAACCCACGGCATCTGCTGTGTCCACCATCAATTCTTGTGTCCTGAAAACAGGCCTGTCCAATAACTTGTTGAATCAAGGCACTAGTTATTCCACATCAAGTTCCCCCAAACGCAGACATACAGTATGTCTCAGACATTTCCGGATGATAAGATCATTCTCTGCAATCTAGACATTATCTGTTAAGAAAGTCTGCCTTCTAGCTCTCTACCCCGGGGAATGTTGACAGTGGAGGAAATTGGAACATGAAACTCTGCCCAGGACAGGATTGACTCTACCTTTTTTACTGCTGCAACACTTGTGGTGCCCCGGCCGATGATAGTTGTGAGCAGTAGCTGTGCCATTGTCTGATAGAACCTGGATCGGTTGACCAGTCAGAAGGGGGAAGGGCAGTGAAGTAATGACAGACAGAATTGCTTGTAACGCTAGCATGTTAATTTAAATCTTTGAATCTTACTTAAACCAACAAACCTGAACAGATACAGATGGTCCTGAACTCCGCCCTAACCCGGAAGACTGAAATTCTTCGTAATAAACTTCCAGATTATGTTAGCACAAAAATATCTGTGACGGACTGAAGCGTCACTGGTGCTGTTGGAGGAGCCTGGGGGCTAGCCTCCTTCCTACTGACTATGGACCCAGAACTATGGAGACCACCCTCGGACCTCTTGGGGTTACAATTAACCGTTCTACCATGTTTATGTGTGAGGGGATGTACTGTACATGTTCCCTGGCATTACATTTGGATGACCCCGTGTGTATTATAGGTACAGGCTGTGACTCCAGGAGCACCGAAGAGGGTTAATTCTGGACATTGAACTGTTACAGTTTATTGGTCCCTTTGTTGTATTGTGTTGATGATGGGATTAGGATAGCTGATTCTAGGAGTAGCTGACTCCGGGTGTAGATGAGTAGATCACCGAATGATACACTCAGGAGATAATCCCATCATATGTGTCTCCTCTCTCCCTATTCATTCATTAAGGCATCGGGGAGGGGGGAGTGGATGTTTGCATGCTGTTCATGTTTGATTGCGTTATGTGTTTAGACTTCTTGGACTGTATATATACTGAGCCGGTCTTCAATAAAGCAGATCCCTGTTGGAACTTACATACAGCCTGCCTGGTGTTTGTTCTGAGCTATCACAACTGGATTCGAACGGCACATAGCTGTAGTTCGAATCCCGGATTATCGGACGATCGAAGAATCAGACGTTGCGGTCTGGCATCTGATCCAATAGCAGCAGAGGAGTGCCGGGAGAGTGGAACCGAGCGAGCAGGGGCTTGTTACAATATCCTTCCAACAACACTGAGTACAGATGCCACCATGTCTCACACCATAGAAATGATCAGTTGCAAAGTTCAAGCATGAAACTGAGCAAAAGGGACTGCTTTGAAGGTGGATACCATAAATCCCAGCACTTGCATGCAGGTCTGCAGCAAACATTTACATATAAATGGACTTCTGAGTCTCCAGCTTTGTCAATTTCTCCCAGCTCAGGAAGATCTTGGCCTGAAAGCAGGCCAACATTTCCAAGATCCAGTCTGAACTTACCAGTAGCTGTTGTAAAATATACAAATTCAAAAATACTGTAAATTCAAAAAACATAGCAGAAAGGAAGAAAACATCCATTCTCCTAAGTACACTAAGGGTAAATGGGCAGGTTCGAGGTGATAGGGGTTATAGCATCAAAGGGGATGGCCTTCAGTTTTCTATGAGTCTAGTGCAGTGGTTCTCAACTCGTGGGTCGCGACCCAAAAGTGGGTCGCGACACCCTCTGCAGTGGGTCGCGGCGTCATGTCTGCATAGACCGGCCCATCTGCATTAGAGAACTAGAGGGGGAATTTGTGGTTCAGCCTGTGGGACCTCATAATGTCAAACTGTCCCCTCTCTCCCGGCCTCCCCCGGGCTCTCCGATAAAGTGGTATGGCCCGGGGAGAGAGGGGACTATTTCCTCACTTTCGGGCCGGCGCATTAATATCGGGCCGCGGCGCCCGACAATTAAGTTATAGTTCCGGTCTGCACGGGAGAGTACAGCAGATATCAATCCGCCGCTGTATCTACTGTACTCTCCAGTCCAGATAGTTCAGTCGGCTGGAATCAGAGAAAGGTAGGCAGGCAGGGAGATGTGCACTGTGGCAGGACAGGGGACACTGATGGATATTATGCATTCCAAGCCCACATAATATCCATCATGTATATCCATCACTGTCCCCTGTCATAATGTATGTTAATTAAATACACAATTAATGTTATTACACAGACTGGGCTCAGAATACATAATGTCCATCAGTGTCCCCTGTCATATTGTCCTCTGTCAGTGCAGAAGCTGGGGAGGGTATGGGGGGGGGGCATTAGCAGGGGGCTCCGCTGCAATTTTTTTACCTGCAGCAGAGCCTATGCTAATGCACCCCTCCCCCAGCTTCTGCACTGACAGGGAACTTTATGACAGGGGACACCGATGGTCATTATGTATTCCAAGCCCACATAATATCCAATAGTGTCCCCTGTCGTAATGTCTCCTGTCAATGCAGAAGCTTCGGGGGGCATTAGCAGGGGCTTAGTAGAGAACCTGCCGTGGTGCCCCTGCTAATGCCCCCCCTTCCCCATACAGACACCCTCACCACCCCCTCCAGGTTCTGCACTGACAGGGGACATTAGGACAGGGTACATTGATGGACATTATGTATTCCAAGCCCACATAATGTCCATCAGTATCAGTGGCGTAACCAGAGTTATGGGCGCCCGGGGCAGACTTTCCCCCCCACCCCCCATTATATAAACATCCATTGGAACTGTACCCCGCAACCGCCACCCCCACACGTTTTTATTTACATTTTTTTAAATATTTAATTTTTATTCTTTATAAACTTTTTAATTTTTTTTAATTCATTTACTTTCAGCAAAATATATATTGCTGAATACTGCACAAGTTGTTTTGTGTAATAAATGAAAATGTTTCAGAAATGAAATCATTTTTGGGTCACGCCTTAATGACCAAGGAAACATGTGGGTCCCGAGGTTACACAGGTTGAGAACCACTGGTCTAGTGTTTACTTCTCCTGTAGGCGGCAGTATAACCATATGTTGCTTATTATCATCACAGCTGAGTCCCTAAATGGATGATAGAGAAACAGGGATTTAATTCACTATCATATATCGGAGCTGCTCTTGCCTTTATAAAGCTTACCTTTCTGTAGTTCATCTATAAAATGTACAAAGAATTGTGCCTTGGTAAATGTACCTTTTTCCCTAAGTAACCAATTAAATAATTTTCTTCTGTTGACACAGTAAATAATTAAAAAAAACTACACCTAGAATCTTATAACCAGCTGCATATATATAATTGTGTTGTGCGCTAGTTTTCTAAGCTCACTCTCTACAATATGCTTTTAACAGCAAGTTGCACCAATTGCTAGGTCTGCCAATCTGCCTACAGTGTCCTTACCAAGCCTGCTACGCCTAATTTCATCGGGAGAAACAGGACGCAGTTTTCGCTCAGATTTAATCTCCTCCAGTATCCGTTCATGCAGACTTCGAGGACGAGGTGGTGTGGGTTTTAATTTCCGCGCAGACGCCTGGAAAGAAATACTGCCATTAGGGACATGAAAATGAAAGTTTAATCTAAACCCAAGTAATTAAAGCACATATTATGTTGGTTACCTTTCACTGCAGATGAAGTGCTGACTAATAAGTAATTTGAAACTCTCTTACAATTGGAAATCTTCTGTGCAAAAGGCACTGATCTGCAGCCAACATTCATGTAGTGTTGAAAGTTAGCAATGCCTACGTTAAAAAAACTAGCTATTATTCAGGTGAACAGCTGCTGCGAAGTAAGCTGTCCTCCCTTTATTTATCTCCCTGTAGTCACTCATTTTTAATTTGGACTGGAGTATGCCTTTAACATTTACTTGTTATACATTTTAAAGATTTCCATCAGAAAGTAAAGATAATTATATTATAAGTACACAAAAGACAAACTGTAGCACATTTTAACATTGCAAAAGTTATTTTCAAAGCACATTTGACCTCATTACCATTACCGGGAACTTAGCAGCAGCTGTTCACATGAATAATCTGCTTTTATAGTAAGAGCTTTGGAACAAATATCATTGCCGAGTCCTGCTACCATGGAATTTGCAAGTACTTAATTTATCAAGGCAGATGAACTAAAAGCAAAGGATACATGATTACTACAGAGCAGGACTACATACGGGATTTAACGGAGGTCTGGAGCGTATAAAATCCAGGATTATTTCATGGGCACTCTTCTTTAATCGAGGAGCGATGCCACCCTGAACCTACAAAGAAACAGAAATAGAGTCTCACAATAGTTTATGACCAGTAAATTCATTACCAACATTTTAATATTTCAATAGATACATGTAAACTACCAGTACTGATGCAATAACCAATGACTCACAGTGACCTTTCTTAAGGTGTAACGTTTGGAACGAATGTCGTCCATCAGCATCTCATAAGGGGTCAGCTGGTACTCGATGGGTAACATGTTGTACTGGCGTTCTTGCACTTTCTTCAGCTTGACACCATCGCGAAGATCACGCATAACCTGAACCCAGAACCTGGCCTGAAAAGACATTACCATTATTTGGGATAAGAACCCAGTAGCAGATTATTAAAGCATTTTAGGATCAAGCCTAAATTTAGCAAACACATAGTAGGGCTCATTTAAGAACACAAAGAACACTGTACAAAGATTCATAGCAACCAATATGTCATTTTATTCTGTGAAGAAAATATGTTAGTTTGCGATCAGTTAAGGGCATATAAATTATTACATTTGCACCACTTCATCT